TGATATTAAACTTATTGAAAGTTTTGAACTTAGTTACACATATGATATGTATGAAAAGTTACTGTTTACGTATATTTATGCCTTTATTATATGGTTATTGTTATTGTTGTATTTTAACAGTTTCGATAGCTTCAATACTTGATATTAAGCTTGTCCGATTGATTGAACTTGGTTTCTATGGTTGATATGGGAGAAAAAATTGTCAGTTATGTCTGTTTGGGAATATTTTTTCATATGAAAGGCAAATATACAAATAAATTTTGGATGCCTTTCAACATATTGAATGGCTTCAATCCTTTATATTAAACTGAAATAAAATAATTGAATTTGATTTCCATGATCGATATGTGTGAAAGCCCAAAATGCTTTTATTCTTTGCATATGTTTAAAACTATTATTGTTATGTTTTAATAGATTTGATTGTTTCAATACATGATATTAAACTTATCGAAAGTTTTGAACTTAGTTACACAGATGATATGTATGAAAAGTTACTGTTTACATATATTTATGCCTTTATTATCTGGTTGTTGTTATTGTTGTATTTTAACAGTTTCGATAGCTTCAATACTTGATATTAAGCTTGTCCGATTGATTGAACTTGGTTTCTATGGTTGATATGGGAGAAAATATTGTCAGTTATGTCTGTTTGGGAATATTTTTGCATATGAAAGGCAAATATACAAATAAATTTTGGATGCCTTTCAACATATTGAATGGCTTCAATCCTTCATATTAAACCGGGAGAAAATAATTGAATTTGGTTTCCATGATCGATATGTGTGAAAGCCCAAAATGCTTTTATTCTTTGCATATGTTTAAGACTATTGTGTTGTTATAGGGCCAAAATATAAATAAAAGAGATTAAAATTATTTGAAATTTTAATACTTGATTGACAGGATTGATATGCATAAATAAGTTACGGTTGATATGTATCCTATCAAATAACATATATTTTTGTATAAGAGAATGAGATGGGTGGTACAATTAGACGTGTGAAATTTTTTTGCGTAACATATACAAAAAAAAAGGATCTTATATAAATGTTGAAACACAAAAAATTGTGATAATTTGTATCATCTATGTTAACATAAAGTAAATATTAACTCTTTTTAACATATAATCAATTAATCATTAAACTTGATAATTGTATATGACAAATTTACAGAAAAAAGTGAAAGAAAAAATGGCTACTGAGATTGAAGTAGTATCTGAAGGTTCTCTCAACATGCAATAAATGGAAAATCAAATATTTATAGAAGTTGCTAGAAAAGAAAAGCATGGACGAGTCTGAGGCCTTAGATTGGGTCCAACACCATCTGCCTACTATGAACATAACTCTCTACAATTTACACTCTTAGCAAGTCAGTCTTCGCGAGACATTTCATTATTGAGAGGGGAATTGCAAACTATGCAATAAAGTTTTTAAAAAATGGAAGTAGAAAGAGAACATGAGCGTGCCAAAATTAAAGAAAAATGTGCTAGAATGGAGCTAGAACGTGTAAAATTTCAGCAGTTGCATGATCGATTCAATCATCTTATGAATTTTGTGCAACAACAATTTTTAGGAAATGACCTTGGTGCTCCATCAACTCAGGTATTATATTTAGTAAACATTAAAATTTTTAAATAAAAAATAAACATACAATAAAGTGTTAAAAATTGTATGGTATTATTTAGTAGGTTGTTGAGCATGCTAGTGACCAAGGTAGAAAATTTTCTTCATCAATTGGCAGCCAACAAAATGTATGTAGTCATCCATTTCATACATTCTAATTTGTTATTTGGTTAATGTATTTATAATATTTGATGTTATTATACTAATATTAAACTTTGTATTAATTAGATATATATTTAAACGTGAATGAAGTTAATATTAATTTCAGTTTTTGAATTTAAGCTCTTTACTGAAAATAAAATTTATTATAAGAAATTAAAAAATATATATTTTTACATAATGACGGCGTTTGCGTTGGGCAATACGACAAAATGAATAATTTAATGACGTTTGTAGCATAAAACACCACTATAAGTAGCAACGCTCTTTCAAGCAAACGTCGCTAGATAGGTGGCATTTTTTATAGAAACATCACTAAAGCAACGGTGTTTTTCTCATAACAATGTCACTGAATTAGCGGCACCTAAAAGATACAAACTCTGCAAATATTGAGGTATTTTTAGATTCAAATGCCTCTAAAGTAGCAGTATTTTCTGTTACAAAAACGCCGTCAATGCAACAATGTTTTTTTTTATAAAAATGTTACTGAAATAGCGGCGACTGAAAGATACAAACGTAGCTAATATTGAGCCGTTTTCAGATTCACACACCTCTAAAGTAGTGGCGTCTCAAATATATAAATGTCGTTAAAATGGTGGCGTTTCAGATATAAATACCGCTAATATTAAGGCATTTTTTTTAAAATACCGCTATTTACTGTGATGCGTGTATAGGCGGCACTCTGCATGATATTTTTTCGCAAATGCCGCAACCTTATAGTGGCGTTAATAAACGTCGTTAAACGGTAAAAAAAAAACGTCACTAAAATTCAAAACCCCTGTAGTGATCAAATGTAATTGAAAGCCAGCAAACTGTGAGGAGAAAGGCTGCTGTTAAATTGAGAGCACAAATTTCCTTTAATACTATAGTATCACGACTATCAAACAACTTAGGCCATCTTATTGTGGTAACTGAAACTATGGTCTTTGATGTATAACCAATATTTTGAATAGAGGAATATAGTAGATGGGGTCGTTACTTTAATTTTTTTTCTCCCGAGCACAAGAAAGGATGATTAAAGATTTGTACGAATCAAATGAACAATTTTAACTAACATTACAATGAACAAATAAGCCAAATCCTGGAATACTCTTGTAAAATTTTAAAGTAAATCAATAATGACCATTGATCTTGTTTCAACTTAAGGTAAAACTATAGAGAAATGATCAACTTATATAGTATAATTTTTTTATTTTATATATTTTTAACCATTAATTTAAATAGATCTAAGGGATGATATTAAAATTTTTTTTTATTTTTACTTTTATCTTTCATTGCTTAGATCTATTAAAATTAAAAGTAAAAAAAACATATAAAATTTTTTAGTTTTATACCTCTCTCTTTCTATATATAATATATATATATATATCTTCTTACAAAATGTAAAATTAAAAAAGTTTTACAAAATATTTTAACCATTGATTTCAATATATTTAAAGGATGAAATTAAATCATTTTTATTTGTTTCTCTTGTCCTTTAAATCTATAAAAATCAATGATTAACAAAAATACATAAAACTATTTTATATTATGTAAGTTGATCCCTTATCATATATATATATATTGATAAAAAAGAGGTCATAATTTAAAGTAGGAAACAAATTGTAAATGTTGAAATTTTAATCTTAAAATTATTGACCGCTCTCTCTTAATTATAACTGAATAAATCAACTGACTTAAAATAATAAATTTCATGTGCAATATGATCATCTAATTAATTATTCTATTGTTCTGCAATTCAACTTCTACATAAAGAATAATTGGTTTGTGCCTCATATCATATACCAATAATCAGTCTTAATCAAACTATCAAATCAAAAATCAATCTATCTTGAATTCATCAAAATAGAAATTCAAGTTATGCAGAAAACAAGGACAACTGAATCTATAAAAAGCAAAGGAATTCACAAGGCATTAGCAAGACGAGATACTCAACACCAGCAGTAACGTGACAAAGACAGTATAAATTTCATCAAAAGCACCGACAATGGGAGATTGAATTCAAGACGAAGTGTTGTCCGCATGTACTATCTATTAAAAAGCACGAAATGCAAATCTTCAAAACTAAATAAACTTTTATCAGCAATTCAGATTAGTTCCATTCGTTGGTTTCCAATTTCCCCGTGAGATAAAAGCAATGATAGGATATGAACATGGGGACAGTTTCTTAAAATAAGGACTTCCAATATTAAAGTGAACTTTTCTTCATTAAACGAACTACTTGGTCTTGAAGTGATCTTGTTTGGTTATCAAACTATTCTTCGCCATTTTTGCTGATACATTTCAATAACTCACATTGCAATAGTAAATTGGCACAAAGGATGGCCTGGAAATTAAACACATTTTTTATTTCATTGCCAAAGATGTGGAATGATACCAAATAGAAGGGAAAAGAAAATTCAATGATTAATTTCCCCACTCAATAATGAATAATTCTTCTCTCAAAAGAGTGGTCCAAATCTGATACTCCTTTTGACAAAGCTATACAAGAATATATTCATAAACCTAGATGTACATTTTTAATCAAAGGGAAAATCCAAAGCGTCAATTCAGCACCAAGCGGAGGATATTATGGTGGAAGTTTATATATACATACATATATCTATATATATATATATATATATTTACAGATGAGGTCTCAAAGAATAAAAAATTTGAATCTCAAATTTTCTAAATAGTATTTTTTAAAAAAGAATTATATAAAGCAATTAAATTAAATTCTGAATTCGATATAGCTTATACTTGGATCTTGCTAATGAAATTTATTAATAATTAAATGATTCGTGGAGACAGACAATTTAAATGGTCACCATAAAAAGCTGAATCCGGCAGGTGGCTCCATGAAATCACATATCGTTTCGCTCTTTTTATCATATCATCTCCTTGACGGAGAGATTGCTTTCAGAGAAAATGAATGGGTGGCCATTATCGCTTCTGCTGCTCAAGAACAAAGTGACTAAATTGAAATAATGTTTAGATATTCAACTTGGAAATTGCCATGCTACTACTAAACTAAAAAGATATATATGGAATTTATTCTGTGTTTGATTGCAATCAAAAGACGATTCTCTTCTTTTTTTAGAAATACTTTCTGGTTAATTTATACCCGCAACAAAAGGAATCGCATCCACCATGCCTATATCTACTTCGTTCCACTGCAGTAAATTTATCAAGCAATAACAAGTTAACAGACTCCAAGGAAGTTCTAGAGAATTTGCAGTTATGGCCTCACTGCAATGCCACAAAACCACCGAGAAGGGCTTGAATCAAGGATATTATGGTGGCAGCTCAATGGGCCAGAACGCTAACTGGCGATGCATGGTGACTAAGAAGGAGAACAAATACCAAGGAACCCAGAATGGCTATCCAATGGCTTACAGCGAAAGTGAACGTTATGGCCAAATCCACTACTCCACCCAAGGTATGGACAAATCTCAGGCAGTTTATGGAATGGCTAAAACCTGGAATGAGAATGGCCAATCTTACGGCAGCCACAAGTCCCAAAATGGAAATGCAATGTCCAAGACCAAAGTTCATTGTCGTGAGAATGGCTTTGGCGGCCATTCAAGCAATGGAATTGCCCAAATGCAAACATATGGCTCCAGCAATCACACTAGCCCCGGATATCGTGAAGGCCGTGGTTATGGCTATGGGGGCCCAACCCTTAGAAACCAGAAAAATAGTGGCGGAATTGGCCACGGTTTCAGCAATCACACAAACTATGAAATAACTGAAGCTTACGAATATAACGAAACCAACAGCTGTGGGAAGTACACAAACAATGGACTGGCGCATAGCCAAGCGGACCTTCGCGGCAAACACTCTGGACATGGAAACGGGTTCATCAAGACCCAAGCTTGCAGCCCTGGCAAAAACATGAGCTATGAAATAACAGAAACTAAAACGTGTGAGTATAGCGAAGCGCACCATTCTAATGAATCACACTACTGCGGTGGAGCCCATGGAACCCGTGCTGACAAGGGCAACCGCTCGGTCAAGGGTCTGCTAAGGAAGATAAAGGATGGCATTTCGGGTAACAGCAGCTGCAGTGACACTGAGAGTGACGATGATGACACTGATTGCGGGAGGAGGAAGGTAATGGTCTTCTTTTCCTTGAATATAAAACCAAAGTATTGACCTTCATTGTCCTTTAATTGATCTCATTTTCCTTCTTTTCCTTGTAGGGGTAGTTTAGCGTGACCCCTAAAAGTAGTTTTTACATTAAAAACTGTTTTTGATCGAATTTTAATATTAAATAACAAAAAAAAAAATTAGTTTAAAAAGTTGGTTTTGCATGACAAAACATACATTTTTTAAAAATAATTTAATAAAAACTTTAGTAAAAACTCTAAACTGAAAAATTAATAAAATTCAATGTAAAAATTAATATATAAAAATTATTAAAAATATTATTTATAATTTAAATTGAATTCATGCTTATTCAATATAAAAAATTTTATCAATATTTTTACTAAAATGTCTATCTAAAAATATATCAAAATTTTTTAAAATTTACATACTTGATATATTTAATCAAACATTTTAATTTATCAATTTTAGTTTTCAATTTTAATTTTTTTAATTTTTTCTAATAAGAAATTTCACGAATTTCATTTATAATATTTCATCTAAAATTTTTTTATAACCTAAATAGAAAAACTACTAAACTTTTGCGATAAAAAACACTTAAAATAAAAAATTATTATATTACCTTATATTTTAATATTTTATTATTTTATTATTTTATACATATCTTTAAACGTATTTCAATTACTCACAATACTTTTTCATAATAATATTACAAATTTAAAAATTTTAACCACCTTTTTTATCACAAATTGTAAATGCACTTTTTCAATCCAAACTTATTTCAACTGCAACAACAATACTTCATTAATCCTTAATATAAAAATAATGATATCTATTTGGCTTGGCATACAGGACTGGATGAGCAAAGCGTTATGATTAATTCTATACATAAACATGGTGGAGATGTTGGCGAGATAAAAGCCAGCAACATATAAAATAAAAATGCCATGTAATAAACAAGAGAATAAAGATTACCCCTACCTTGATGTTTCCATGTAATGTAATATAATTACTTATATGAATTAACGATAAAACCTCTAGCTCTGGGTGAGTTGGGTTGTTGTTGCTTTGTTAATCCCCCTGTATAATAGTTAATCAGAATTAAATACAGAAAAAGAATCGCTCAATGATGGTGTGCAATATCAATTAACCATAGACCACGATAATTGGGTCTAATCTTTTCAGGAAAAGTAAGAAATTCCACGAAATTTCACTGATTCAAGGTGAAAAAAAATGAGGTTGCTTTTTCAGCAAAACTTGAATAAATTTGATCCAAAAAGTCATGATTCAAGATGTGGGGAAATGGGAAAGATCTGCTCCAACATTTAGAAATTAGTTAATTAGTCTATATTATTTATATATTTTGCGAGAAAAGATAATTTACATGCAAATTAAAAAAAATTATATTTTTTTAATCATTGATTTTAATAAATTAAATAAAAAATTAAAAATAATTTACTCTCATTCTTATGATATATTAAAATCAATAATTAAAAAAATATGTAAAATTTTTTAATTTTATAGTGTGTAAATTAATTTTCCTCATATTTTATAATTTATTTATTATATTACTAAAAAAGGTAAAAAAAAAAATGCAAACAAAAAACACTGAATCTGTTTTGCCCTATTTTACTTCCAAACCTTCACTCTCAATGCAAACATCACTAGTAGACATGTCACAATTTCCTGACCAAGTGAAAATATAGATATTATATAAAAAAAAATCGATTTTTTTTTTTGTTATAGAGTAAACGATTTTTAATCTTGTAGTTTATTACTATTTATATCATGTATATAAATGAAAATTAAATAAAACTAAACAAACTCGAACTCCCTCCCTCCCTCCACGACCAAATTAAATAAAATAATGTCTATACAATTCTAGTTTCTTCCATCCCTGAATATGAATTTTCTTTATGGACTTCACAGCAAAACAAATTAGAAATTGAAGATTATGACATGAGCCTATAACCTCCTAAAAACGTTTCAAATCAGCAATTTAAGGAACGAACACCGTTAACCTATCATGCAGAAACAAACATAGCCAGCCAGAAAAGTTGGAAGAAACCAAAGACTAAATGTAGAAAATGACAATAAAATGAGAAGTCTAGTAAGTTGCCAACAAAACTACAAACTCACTCCAGAGAGCTTCTGATCACCTAATATTTTTGCACCAACACTAAAGAAGAGGCAAAACAGATCATTAAATTGAGACAGATGACGCAGCCACAATACCTAAATTTCCTAAATAAATGTTTCTTCAACCGTCTACAGAAGAGCAAGCAAAACTAGCAAAAACCTTTCTCTCCAGACTTGAGAAGTTACAGCCACTGATCTATAGACAGAACACCTGGAAACAAATGTAAACAACAGTACTGAAATCCAACAATTGTTGAGATACCAGATGAACTAACCGTCCCTGTATTTTCAATAAAAAAAACTAAAACACAAGAAACCAAATACCAAACCAAGAGAACAAAAGACAAATTATCAAACTCATACAGGCAGCTTGGTTCCTCAGAAATCAACGCCCATGGTGACCCAATAAATTAGCAAACCCATAGTGGCAGTTATTTAACTCTTACCATCATTTGACAACAACTTCATTGGCAGAAGTAACTAAAAATTGAATTGTTTCAATATTCAACTTCTAAGAATTCCTTTCTTCTATTCAACTATGTCAATCAAACAGCAGCAAAGCACCATGCCATTTGCAATCCTTTCAAGAATCAAATGTAATTCATTCATCTCATGTGCATAAAAAAAAGACTCCACTACAACTAATTGCAGCAGTAAAAATTAGATACAAAAAGAAAGATATAACAAAAGAAGGTAGAAGCAAGAAATGTCAAAACATACAAGAATATGGCAAAAAAGAGATACCAAACACTGTCCAAACACTGTTAACAAAGTTACCAGGGAAAACAAAGCAGCAATACAGTAATCAAAGGTCAAAGTCAAACAAATTTGTCACCATTTGCCTAAGTTTTTTATTGCTTATAATTAACCCTTGACAAACCAAGAGAAACTAGAAGCAAATAATCAAAGTTGGTAATTGTCGAAATGAAAATTTTCCATTACAAGTAATAATAGATGAACAACAGCTATCAAGCTTTTTTTTTTTTTCTTTGAAATGCAAGGCAAAAAGAATTTAATTGCAAAGAAGATGATCCTAAAATAAGAGAAAATGAAAATCACCCAACTAAAACTCCTACAAAAGATAAATAAGATAACTAACTCAAAAAAAAAAAAAAAAAAGACCCATAGTCAAATAATAAAATGTGAAAATAAAAACAAAAAAGCCAAAATTGAGAAAAAATTGTGATGAATAAAGGGAGTTAAGAAAATTAATTTTAAGTATCAAAATTAAGATTTTTTATCAAGATTAAAAGATAATACATATATAATTGATATCATTTTTAAAATAGGTGCTCTAAAGGTGCTAATCATTTTTCACGTGTAATCATACTTTTAAATTCAAATTATTTTCAAAGATTTCAGAATTATTTTTTTAATAAAATTTTAATTAATTTTAAAATTTTAATTAATTTTAAATTTTACTAAACAAATAAATTTTAATAAGTGATCAATCTTGACAAAAAAAATTGATGATGACTCTTTTTATTTTTAAATTTCATCTAACGTTTAGGACAAACACAATTGTAGTCCAAATCCTAAATCATTGTCAATCAAAATCCAAACTTTATGATTTACTGAGAAAGGAAAAGAACAGAAGCGAAGGTAAAGAGAACCTTTTCTCAAGCAACTGCTTCAAACTGCTGCCAAACTCCATTTCCTCTATCCTTTCATATCCCAACTAATAACCACAAATAGAATTTACAAAAAAAAAAATGACCAAAGATGATAACCAGGGGAAAATTGAGAACCTTTAACCCATGTTCCCAACTGCGGCCATATCCTTCATCCTTCATCCTTGTCCTCCTCCGGATAACTTCAAATGACATCTACATTATCAAGACCACACAATACGTCTCAAGAATTTTAAAACTAAAAATTAGAAAAACACAATTAAAACATAAAGACAGAGTAACTAAGAAGAGCAAATTTTCCAACTTCAAAATCTAAAAGGATCTTAATCATAGAAAGCCTTAATAGTAATAGTAGGAGGCTCAATTTACCATATCCCTGAGAACAAATTAAACACCAAAATCTACACATGAAGCAGGCATGCCTACACAATTTATAAGGAAAAATCAAAAATCAAAAAGTGAAATGTCCTTCAGAAAACAATTGACCTAGCGCAAGAAAGGTCGACTTCCACGTTAGCACAGCCAACGAATTTATTACCGGTTATTACCACTGTTAAGACCAACTGAAATCATCAAATTTAAAGGGAATAAAAGTTAACATCCTGTTAGAAGCCTTTAACAACCAACATCTTCCACCTCCACCTTGCATCAATAATCTAACCTCTGTGTCAAACCTAAAAGGTTTAAACAGTAGAGCAAGATTATAGGATTATCCATCCCAGCTTGAGATTGTAAGAAAACAAAATCAAAGCAATGAAAAACTTAGAAACACTGCAAATTAACCCAGATCTGCTGCATCAAGATCATAAATATCAGATTGTCCACAATTAGCGTTATATTAGTCCAGTCTTACAATTATAACCTCACGTTTGTAACATCCCAAATAGAAAGGACAAAAAATCATTGACTCCAAACTGTAAATTAAAACATCTAACTGACAAATGGAGAGCTGTGAATATATAAAAGTGTTAGTTCACAAGACTTTACCCTTAGCCACTGTTTCCAAATCATCCATGCTACTCTTATCCTCTTTGATTCCAAATCACCTCAAATAACACCTAAACACTTGAAAAGCCTACTTATCAACATTACTATTTAAACCAAATAAAACTATAAAGAATAAGAAAATTATTAAAACTCGTGAGATCCAAAAAAACCAGACAAAAAAGAAGCAAAAGGAAAAAAAAGAAAGAGAACAGAGTAGAATTATGAAGATATAAGAACTTAAATCCAAAATGTTGAAAGCAACAATTCCTAGTCAATTGAACAAACTGTTGTCAACAACTGCACGTAAAAACTCATTAAGAAATTTTCAAAATTTTGTCAGAAGG